TAGTAATTTGTGATGGTATTGAATTTCAAGATATTTGTAACAAAATATTTTATAATTACTCGTTACTGATTACTATACACTACATTCCGCACCTTTTAAATGAATTGCACAGCATATACGCATATTGTAATTGAAACTAGAGCGTAGAACAAAAAAGCGGTTGCATGCAAGGTAACCGCGCTTTTTTAGGAATTTTTTTTGTATGCCAGGATTTTACCTATTCGTATTTATTGAAGAAAATAAAAAAAGTCAAAACTGAGGATTGTATGCTTAAAATCAAAAACAGAAATTCTGAAAGAACTGCGTATTTATTTTCTTGGTTTTAATTTTTTTTTTAATCTAGTCCTTTCGTTTGTTTTTTAGCGCAGTTTGACAGACATTGACAAAGGCTTGTATGCGGAGAGGAAGTCGTCTGCTTCTTGCACAGGAGTTTCGGTGACGTCAGAACGACGCCGAGCTCTGATTGGCTTTGATTGGAAGGATAAAGGGTAGACCTTAATGCTAAATGCCTTGATGTCTACCCACTATATTTGTTCAATCAGCCAATAAGAGCTGAGCGTTCTGACATCATCGCAACCCTTGTGCAAGAAGCAGACGAACTCGCGCTCCGCATTCGACCGTGGCTAAGGCATGATGCACCGCTCTCATGGTCGCGTTTTGCGGGGGTTGCAGACGATGGTAGGTGGTTGTAGAATAACAGACAATGATGAGGCTGCCACATGTCTGCTCTCACGCCTCGCAGACGAAGTCAGACAGCTGATGATACAAGACAAAGCGAAATTAAGACGCTAGGTTTGCGTGGGTGTTGGGCTGAACAGCCAAGCCAATCCAGTAGTATTGTTCGCGGCTTAGAGCGTTCCGTGGCATCCGCATGAATTGAGTGCCCCGACGTACGAATTAGGTTAAAATATTTTTAATATTTATTTTTGACGCGTCCAAAGTGCTGCGCCACTTTATAAAATATATTTCTTATTGTATTTTTTTCAAGATCTATGGCTAGCAGCGGTACTGCACTGACTAAATTTTTTATCACCAGCGAAAACACTAGACGCCTGTTGAGGCTGATTAACTTCCCGTTGTATAAATATACACACGGTACGATTAACGTTGCCTTTATCTGACCGCAGATGCCTTGCATAAAAAGCGTCAAGGCTTGAAAATGAGAAATCCTCTCTCTGCTCCTTTGGTCTATGGACAAATTTTACACAATTGCAAACATGGCATCCCAGCTGGTTTTCGATGTGTATAACCACCAGCATGAGCGTGAAGGTAATTTTGACAGGGTTGCAAATTTAAGCGCTTGTCTGTATACAAGCAGTTATAATGGCCGTTATGAGCCCTGTAAGCAATTATGTATACTGATTCGGATGATTAAATCGCGCTTACCGTGTGCTGGTGAAACCTTACAATTCACTTTTTTGCATGCAGTTTTGTTGCTACTCTGCCGTAGAGGGGTTGTAGTTCATAGAATGGTATAGGCACGACCGTGCACAATTACAAAAATCCTCAATTTGCGCGAGCGCCAGTGTACGTAATGTTCTTCCCAAGCCTTCACTCTCGCGCCCATGCCTTCGGGGGGATCGATGGCCGAGCATGTCAGCGCACCGAAGCTGGGAGCACGTGCAGCAAAAGCTCGTGCTGCAGCATCCAGGGATCCCGGGTTCTATCCCCGCCCCTGCCCGTTTCGATCTGGATGAGCATTGTACCGATGTGCGGTCGTGTATCCCTACTGTGTGATGCACGTTAAAGACACCAGGCTAGGAGTCGTGCTGCACTGGCCAGATTTCTCATCTACAGCTGAGACACAAGACGCCAATTGAGGCTGACTAATTTGCGGTTGGATAAACATGCCCACAACACAGTTATAAGGTATTTATTTACCATTGATACCCGTCACGAAATGAATTAAATATACCTCTTTCATGCTGTACTTCATTTTTACAACTACAATAAAAGGACGATGTTGAAATTCGGAAGTGCCCTTGCAATACAATTTGCAAAAATAATTAAGTTTTGTTTGTTTATCTCTTGAGAATCATCCGAGCGAATGAATCTAAACGTAATTTGAAAAGTGATAAGAGAAGCAATTGTTTTTAATACGATTATTTAAGAAAAGAAAATATTCTATTGAAGGCAAAGTTACTTTTCATTGTAACGTATTACATTTTTTAAGTAAGGGGCGCATGTCTGATAGCTGCTAAGACGCTGTGCTTTCTTGCCTCTCGAACGTATATGGTGTGAGTCATTGCGCTGATTTCGGGTTAGGCGTGATTAATCGGTTGGAAGGTTTTTTACTAAATAAAGCTGGAATTGGTATTTATATGAACTGCGTTATTACTTTCAGTCCAAAGATTCTTTATGTCTGTAAAGCATTTTTAGATGACGAACGTAAACATATATTCAAGGTAGCGTGCAAATTGTTTTAATGTAGAATATTTTGTAGCATGCAGTGCCAGGTATTGTAGCATTATTTTCAAATGTACGAATTGATATAATATCAAGAGTACTTAAAATCAGAGTATTAGAACAGTCTGCGCATTAACAGAAGATGCGGATCGGGGACACGTTTTCTAATATTTTGTTTAAAATAATAAAACTCTAGCTACTTATGATGTTTTGCCTTATCTTTATAAACTATTATTAGTTTAAATCTAACAACTCTAGTTTTTCGTTCAGGGGCAAGATACAACTACATAAGAAGGGTTACTTGTGCAGACATCTAGGCACCGTTTGTTATAACAAACATAGCCCAACAGCTCGTTATGCTCCCTATGAAGCATAGAGCGCTAGTATCTAGTCAAAGGACGTGTACAAATGATTGATTTATTAAAGAAAAATAACGATGTTATAAAACTTACTTTACAGAGGCCCTTTAATAGTTAGTTTAATTTTGAAAAATATAATTAAGACTGCAATTTCAAATGGCTATCGACACTCTACGTGCCCTCAAGATAATACATACAAAATTTTAAAAAAATCCGGGTAAAAACGCAGACGAACTGGTGCACATCCATAATGAGAAACCTTATTAAGACTAGGAACAGAAGGGACAAGGGTTGTCCTGTGCCTGTCCTCTGTGTTTTATTCTTTCAATTTTATGTAGACAAGGGCAACACCGTCACTTCTATGAGGCTGTATTCTCCTTGTCCTTTCTGTTCCAGTTTTCCACTTTTCTCATATTGAAAATACATACAAATTTTATTATGATTGGAGGAGTATAAGTACCAAAAACTGATTGCACAAACCGTGAAGACAACCCAAAGTTGCAAAACAAGAAAAATGAGCAGAAAGTAAAAAAAAAAGTGTAATCTACAAATATCATCTGCAATCACATTAAACATGGCCAGAACATAGATAGGTTGTTAACGAAATAATCAGAGCCAATTCGCCCGTTTCGCACTGTATGGTGTGACCTCTCTGGGCCCTCTTGTACCGTGTGCCGTCAGACAATAGCTACATTAGCTGTTCCTCCCTCGTCAGCATTTCGGTCTTCATGAGGTTTTGGAAAGCAGTTTTAACGGCACCGGCATGAAGTTCTTGCAAGGGGAGATCTTGTGGGGCATTGAAGCTAGCAGTCTAAGAATGGCGCAGAAGCGCAGAATTTAACGGCTTTCAAGTTGACGGCAGGACTCGTGCGAGTTTCCGCCGTCATATATCTTCGATTTCCACTTATACGTCTCCATCTGATGCGGCACGTTTCGAAGAAAATGTTGAAAGAAAGAACTCTATCGGGGCACTCTTTATTTTCGATGTAGTTTGAGGGACGATGAAAGTTTCTCACGTTTCACAGCCGACTCCCGAACGCATACGTAGAGAACTTGCACTGGTGACAAGAGGGGGCAGATAGCACTGCTCACAAGCATCGTCAGCGCGCCGATGTCACACATCACTGAACTCGAAGAGCCATTAGAGAGTTTGGGTAGATCTGTCTGATGACTCTGATAACGATACCCGATACACCGCGCCGCCCTTGCGCATGCATCGTATCGTATCGTATCGTTATCGGGCATCGTTATCGGGAAATCGGATCGATCAATTAAAACTTTCTATAGTCCCGTGTTTGGTATTTGTTTTCGAAGGAAGCGATCATCCTCGTAGCGGATTATTAATGGCGTCGAAACAGTCGCCGTTACCGTGGTTAGGCTTAGCAGGTCGCGGGAAACGTACCTCCGCTGACGTTCTCTGCTTGCGTGTGCGCCGCCTTTTTTGAAACTGAAGTTTGCTTAGGTAGATCCATATGCGAAATTTGTGCTTTTTCGTGTTGTCTATCGCAAATCGAATCGGAGATACGTAGGAGACATTGCAGCCCAGGGAAACAGCCTCTCGAAGATGGCGCATATTCGCGTAAACTTGGTAATTCTTCACGCACAGCGGATCAGTAAGACACGTTTTTTTTCTTTTTAACTTGAGGTGGAAATATTATTTTGATTTTTTTTTTTGCTTATAAAATTAGGCTATCCAAGAACAATTGAAGCAAGCAAAAACGAAAATGAAGGATTTCCAATGTAAACTTGATTTTTCGACCCGCAACTCCCATAACTAAATAAGCTTATATTTTGCGTCAGTATATAAAACATAAGAAATACAGTGACTCGACATTGCATTGCACAATCCAGCTGCAAGCCCGTAACATTTTTATAGACATTTTTCAACTACGCATGTGGCAGCTAGCCTGGCTATTATTTTCTGATACGTTTCGAAACCCCATCATTTTTACTCACTCACGTGCCTACCGTTTTGAAAATACAAATAAAATCATTAGGAGTTTCTCATGGAACATAATAACTGCACCAACTTACTTCTTTATTTTTGATTTATAATGACAAACTAAATCAAGAAACAAAAATGCATTTACCCCCATTCGCCGAGCAGTTGTTTTCCAGATAAAGCTTTGGCACACTTTTTACTCCGTCTATAAAATAGAGTGCTGTCGGCGCTTAAACTCAGACGACGCCAGCGGAGATTGTAATTGGGCAGCAGAATATTAACAATCCTGGAAAATGTTTGCTTTCTTGTTTTCAGTAGCGGTTGTGGTGGGTGTTCACTATACCTTTGCAAGCACGTCATACCCGGATGAAAACCCAGCGCTTCAAGAGTATCAAAATGAAGCTGCGGTAAGCTGGAGGAGCTAGAGATGAAGGAGAAAGAGTAGTTATGTCCTTCCATGTCTATAATTAACTTATGTCATGCGTCAACCAACAATGCTTATTTCAAAACGGACCCCACAGGGCTCACGAGTCGTCTTCGTTTCTGTGCAGGCCTTTCCGCTTGAAGAGCAATGGTACATGATGTACAGGAACTATGAGTCAGATCCCTTTTTTGGTGACAAAGCTAAATGCGTAAGTATAACCGAGACGAAGCCAGGTGAAAACGGCGCTTACCCCGTGGTTCTTCGGTACAATCCAGACGTTTCTATGTGAGTAATGTTTATATTCAATGAACATGCTTTATCGCTAGTTTCCTTAGCTTAATCATGTCTTGCTTGCATGCTAATGATATGTTCGCGACACGTCGAGAACATCTTTCACTTTGGTGTTAGCTTATTTGTTGTACATCCTTTCATATCTCAAGACGTAAAAAGAAAGCACAACATGCGATAAATTAATAACACAGAAACCGAATAGACCGTCATTGCATGTTCCGTTGTGTAGGACAAGAGTCTCCGACCTGTTTGTCCAAGGGGCGGGATCAGTGATCTGTCGTAGTCTCGAGAGCCGGCGAAAAAACAAAAGAGAAAATAAAAACAAAGAAGAAGGAAATAAATAAACCTCGATACGCATTCAAACGCTAAAATCCATGTTAGCGTAAGTATTAAAATGCCTTAAGGTGGATAAATACATATACTTAAATTTCATATTTAGCTCAATATGAGATTACACAATGATTCTGAACAAGAAAAATCACCAGACCTAAATCAAAGGGCATTGGAACTTTTCTACATTCGCAGAGTGCAGAAGACTAATGCAAGTTATAAAACTAATGCTTACAATGCAACAGTTGTGACAGAGGACACTAAGCAAAATGTATATGATAACGCAAAGGAATTTTAACATGTTACGCAGACATGAAGCAAGGGACTAAGAATAATGGCTGGTGATGACAGTGTCCAATGCAAAGTATGGCGAGACGGACTGCGTTACGATGCAGTTGCAAACATAAATGGCTTTGGCTTAGCATGCGTACATTTCACATTGTTCCTTACCATAGGGTACTTTCATTCTAGCGATCTAACGGCGACATTCAGCTCATCCCCAGGATATACTGTTAAAAACATCGTGATTCATCATAATCAAGATCGTGAGTATCGAGTTAAAAAGTCCGAGGACACCTAAGCACTTCTTATGAGTTGTGAATGCGAAAGCATGCATGTCGTTTTTCCGCTCCCTTAGTTCGTTTGCGGAGTAGCGGCGCGGACGGCCACGTTTCGCTACTGTCGAGGTAGCGGCCGACGGCCGAGCGCGCGCTCTCGTAAAGTGGCCGCGCCGCGCTGAGCCCGGCCGAGCAGCCTCTCCAAAGTTTGCCCGAGAAAGCTCTGCAGCCCCTTACCGGCGGCCGGGCTGCTGCGTGCGCTGCGCTGCGCTGCCATGGAGAGGGCTTCTCTGGTGGCGTCCCTTGGAACTACGCAGTGCGAGAAACAATGGGAGCATCGTTCCTTGATGACGCGCGCCAACCAATGAGAGCTATCCTTCAGGTCACGGCTTCACTTCGCTCCATTGGGACAGTGAAGTTTAAGTGCCATTTGGCGCGGCTTCGAAGCTGATGACGTCGGTTCGCTCTATGGGACCAGTTAATTCTTTTTCATTAAAAGCTACGTACAGTAAGGATTGAACCTACATGTTAAAGCTTCTAGTGTTTAGTGAAATGTTTTATTTTGTTAAGACTATATACTCACTGTGGTGTTAAAGACCATACATGAAAACCGGCTCCACAATGTCGCCAGTTGTCATAATTACAAAGTCAAAGAGCCCCTTTTCTTCGTGTAAAAATGAATCGGCTCTTTACTGAACGTTTTCCGTTAATATATCTTCAATCTCACCTCCTCAAAAACCAAAGTACCTTAGTAAGGATTGACGATAAAACTTTAATCCCACTCTCATGCACGTGGAACTTTCCACTCTATATCAAGAAATTGCACCGTGAGCATAACAATATCAAATTGTAGATATCTCCATCTCTCTTTCACTCTCTCTCCCCCATTCTCTCTCTCTCTCTCTATATATATATATATATATATATATTAAGGTTTAGCAACCATTCCGTCAACGTGCGTTAATTTCTTAACAATAGATATAATGTGATGAAAGATTTAACGTAGCTACTCATTGAAGAGCCAAAACACAGACGTTGCAAAATCACTGACAGTTTACATCCACACGTCTTGTTTTGTGATTTGTCCTTCGTCATTCTCGCCGAATTATAATGCAACCTGACTGGCCATGGAACGACAATAAGATGCCTAGACTTCACACACCATGTGTTTTTGTTGTTGTTGCTGTTATGAACTATAACAAACATTCATTTTTATTAATTTTTAACTGTCGAATTGAATAGAATGACTCTATGATGGGTGTCTTCTGACGAAAAACTTTTTTTTTTGCACAGAAAATGTTACGATTGCGTCCAGAACAGCCTACAAGGACGTCAAAAAGTGTGATGTCCTGCGAATGCCTCAAGCAGGTGACAAGATTTTACAACTTTGAAACTTAGGACACGGCCGGACTGGAAGCGCGAGAGCGCGTGCTTCCAGTGCGGCCGTGCTTAGGATTACTGACATTATTTATCAATATAGTACGTACAGTCAGAAGCAAAGTGAATAGAAGCGAGCCGCCGAGCGTTTTTTTTTTTCTGGAGGGGCGCTAGCTTTGCAGCAGTCGGTACAATCGGTTGGTCACGTAATGGCGCGTTCACACTGGAAGCGGATCCGCGTTCGCGAAGCGGATCCGCGCGTTCTCAACCGCAAAGCGGCTAGGATCGAGCGGATGGAGCGCGTTTTTGCCAACCGCTTCGAGACCGATTTCTCCCAACCGCTTTCACGAACCGCAAAGCGGCAACCAATCACAACGCGACGCTGACGTGACGTCAGTGACTTTCAAAACAAGATGGCACCTGTCGCTGGTGAGGCGTTTAAGGCGCTGTAGTCCTAGCGCTGTAGTCTTAGCTTTCGACAAATCAACGGAGAAACTTGATGTTCACGTCCGTCACTTGAATCCGCCGCAAAAAGAATTGACTCGTAATTTTAACGGGCTTCACACCGGTGATTTGGTTTGGGTAAGAGTTTGTTGATTATTCCGGGTGCCACAGCTCAAGCTCGCTGCCTTGTTCTGCCTGTAGAACGTCGGAACCCACCCCTGATGGACCGAAATGTGAACTATTGAAAGCTTTCGACACTGTGCATGACCACCACGAAGCCCGATAGAGACGTCGTGAGCTCGATTGCGTAGCCAACGCACTACCGCGGTGGGGGCAGGGTACCCGCGCTAGCTCGACCTGTAACGTTTACTACTAATAGAATAAATAAAGGGGACCTACTCAAGGAATAAAGTGTACGTACCAGACAATGCAGAGGTAATCCATACGACGTTTATTTGAGCTTAATGTCAAACAAACAGTAGACTCGATCGACGAGCGAATGACGAGAGGAGAGTCCGCCACCAACGAAGCCACGACCGGCTAGCACCGAACACATTCCCCCGCACCACGGTCCACCCCACCGCTCACTACTTTGAAAATGATAAGAACGATCGAACAACAACGAGGGGGCAAAACTGGCCCTCTATCCCGAAAGCAAGGTCAGCTATTCATGCGGGAAGGGTCCACTTCGAAGAAAAGGTCGGGGGCATCCTGTTCTGAGTCAGCAAGGCGCGCCTAGCTGGGCTTTGCTTGTGGGCGAAGTCGAGAGAATCACAGGCGAGTTTGGCGGGACCATGCTTCTTTTTTCGCTGCCTGAACTCGTGATGCGTGCGAACATCCACGAGAAAAATATTCCGAGTGCCAAAATAGCAGAAGTTGGACTTAGGATCTTGAATTAAAGTGGATTTTGGATTGTAAAACAGGGTTGCCAAACGCAAGTCTCAAAAGATCACGCGTAATCGCCGAGAAACCGCCAACCGGCTCTCGGTGAGTCTGAACGGGGTCGCTCGCGAACCGCATCCGCAACCGCTTCGCGAACGCGGATCCGCTTCCAGTGTGAATGCGCCATAAAACGGCGGGTCCACCGCAGTCTGTTAGGTTAAATGCGGTAGCACTTTAAATAAAAATCTGCGGACACCTTATGTTTATTAGCTTGTCTTTAATTTATGCTGCGCTATGCATTACACCACTAATTTGCAAAGAGTAAAAATGAGCCGTTTAGAATATTGCATTTTTTAATACAGCGTGCTTACTTTACACGTAGCACTTTGAGCGTATTCATCATAACGTTTCTTTCTCAACGAAAACGTAACATATACGCATAAAAACGACACCAACAATAACAACAGCATTTTTGAGGGGGTGTCTGTTTGTTATTGGGGAGGAGGACAGACCGTGACGCCCCAAGCGGTTAACCTAACAACTACACGGATGGGGACAACAAATACAATGACGCAGCGTTCGGCCGACATAACCGAACGCGGCGTCAGCGCTCGGCTGGAGTTCGTGTTCTCCGGCGAAGGGGAGGAGGGGCTCTTTTGTTTCCACTCGGCCTGCATGAACAATGCAGCATGCACGATCCCAGCTCATCAAAAAAGCCGAAGTGGGTCAAGCTCGCATTCTCTGAGGATAGATCCGGCACTTAACGTCGCTTCGTCGATTGTTAGTATTTTTTACATTAAACTGCACCCCGCGCTCTATTGTAGAAGATGACATGGCCATGCCCATAAGGCCTGTCGGCATGTGCACAGGCCTTGTGTTGAGTAAACACCAAGCGTGGGGAAAACAAACGGGTCAGAGCGCCCCCTATAGTTCGATCTCCTGCCCAATTGGACATGATATCCATCTTCGGGGGTTACAGCGCTCCTCCCGCGCACTAAGGCATTGCGACGTGACCAAGTGCTTGTGCCTAAAGTTTTACTTGCGCCAACACCGGCCAGGCTAGCGCCCCGCCGAAAAACAAATGCACGGTCACGCGCTCCAGTTGAGACTAATTGTAAACCGTACGTGCGGTATTTGTTTCTCTGTATAAAGTACTATATACATTGAACTGTAGTGACCGACAGCTTGAGAGAAGCGGGGCTGGCTAATTACTTCCACACTTCTCGTGATTGGTCCTCTGACGTCCCTATCGGACCATCTTATTGGTTGCCGAGTAAGGCTCGGGGATAGCCCCCGCCCGGTTGTTCTTATGCAGTCCGTGTAACAATGAATACTCGCCATCCAGGCTCTTCCGTATTCTCTAATAAAGTTGCGTGAGCAGCTTACTCAGTATACTTACTTGGTTTCATCTTAAAGGGAAACTAAAGCCGTTCTGTATTTGAGAAAATAAACCACTTAAATTGTGCTTATTTGGCCTCCAGGATCACGAATATCGAAATGATACTGCAGAGTGGTACGCCAAGCAACCACAGCAGCGCTTTCAAAAAAGCGCCCAAGCACCTCCTTACCGTCGCGTTCGGTGCGAGAAGGGAATCGTGATGCATTACAGAGGAATTTTAACGTTCCCGCGCTTTCCGGAAGCCTAACACGAGCAGTCAAAAGTGCTGCGCGTGTTCCCTCACAAGCGTCAAGTGCGAGGCAGCTGAAGCGTCTGGGTCTGACGTCATACCCAGCGGTTGGCGTTTTTAATGTTTCGGTTTTTCTCGCGTCTATTGATACGCTCGTGATGTTCAAATTCACAGGAGAAAAATGGGGCTAGAATTCTCCTTTAAATCGTTGTTCTTTTTTCAAGAGCCTCTTCGTTTTCTTTTTAAGCCCAGACGCAGCCGACGGTATACTTAGTTACAGGTTAAGGAAAGTTTTCGAGGGAAAGAAAGGGGCTCAGGAAGAGGAAGCAGACGGAAGGCTGGAGAGAGGAGGATACTTTCTTTCTCCTCTCCAGTATTTTGTTTGATTCCTCCTCCCCGGCACTCCTTTTCTTCGAATACTTTTCTTAACCGGTAACTGACTCTACGAGCTGATAGAATCAACCAAGCAGCATGAAAAGCGCAAGTCACTGGATCTTTTTTATTTATCATGGGTCCGGCGATGCTAGAGCACGTACATAAGCAGGACGAACACCACGATAATGCGCTTTTGACGTTGTCTGTTCATCCCATTAGCTCATAAGGCTGCGTCTCAACTTGAGGTGACACCAAGTGAACACCAACACAGTGCTTACAAACACGCTCGCTTTGCCCACACCCGGTGTGGGCACTGCGCGTGCGCGGAAACCAAATTCGAAAGGAGTGAAGCGTTTGGGCATGCGCAATACCGACAGCAGCGCCACCTCACTGGCGTGACGTCAGCGACTCGATTTGGTTTATGTATTCGGCAGAATTGAAAAAAAAAAAAAAAAAGATCATGATGTATCTGCTACAGCTAGTCGCTCCTTTCATATATATAGGGTGGTCCAAGTCACCAGGCTCGATCTAACATGGACCGTAAAAATCGACGCCTGCACGTAGCAATCTAAATTTTTCGTCAAAGGTGTATTTCACAGGTCGGTATTTTCTGGTAAAATTACAAAGCGTAGTTCTATTTCTGTAAAAAATAAGGCCAAGAAACTTGCCAAGGTCTACGGCGGGCAGCGACGCAGACGACAGGGGTTCAGTAGCGGGGTGTGTTTGGCGTTCGTACTGATAGATGGCGTCGGGAGCAGCGTCCGAAGGTGCAGCCACTGATCTCTATGACGATTGGTGGATCGCGTTTGCCCGCTCCGCAACTGCGGTCACTTGCGGCCATCTTTTTGGTAGAGTTATATTACCTCTATACTCCGCGACAACTTTTCTTGGCTATGCAGTGGAAGGTACGTCCCGCGTCCCCTCTCCCATTTTGAGTGTACGCAGGCTCTCCTCCTCTCCCAGGAAAGCCTGCGTACACTCAAAATGGGAGAGGGGACGCGGGACGTACCTTTTACTGCATTGCCAAGAAAAGTTGTCGCCGAGTATACACCAACTCATCTCTGTGACGTCACGGAGCGGTGGTGGCGCGTCGGTCGCACTTCCGGTCTAGGGCTGTGGGCAGAAGTCCCCATGCCAGACGTGTATTCCTGCGTTGTTTTCAAGGGAACCAGACAAAAACCTGCCTTCTCGTCAAAACGTCGGGACTGGGGCCGTACCAAAAGAGTCGAGAAATGTTTGAAAGTCACTTTTCACGTGCTCGGTTCGTCCGAGAATCTGGATATGTGCCGTGAAAAGGGAAAAGCAGACGCCGTCGGACAACGATTGCTTGGGCGGGAAGCACTTTGGGTTGAATTCACGGATACTTGTGGTCATCAGATTTATTTGTTTTGTTCCAACATGAACGCCGGAAGACCATCAAGTTGTGCGGACCGCCTGCGGACTACGTTCAGTGCGTCTTCAAGTTCAAACGGCCGCCTGATCGTTCGAACTGTCGTCTGCTCTTTCAAACATTTCTGCTTGTCGTCTGCTCTCTTAGACGACGTCGGCCCGTAGACCAAATGTGGGCCCGGTACTTGCTGTAAAAAGTAAATGCAGGTCTCAAAAGACTTAAGTTTGAAGGTTGGTAAGCAGGCTCGATGTAAAAAGTAAATACAAGGAGATGTTGATCATTGTTCCCAGTGACCATCACTGACTTTCTATGCCTGATTGACTTGGTCCGATTCTGCTTGCGATTTTCAGTATCGACGTTGACCATCTCAGCTACGGTTCACGCTTTTGCAGCCCGAGCGTCGTCGCGACTGAAAATTGCGAGCGAAATCTCATCATGCGAATCAGGTTTTAGCGTACATACTGCGGCGTCCACGCGGAATGAATCGCCACATGTCACATTATTCACGCGAAGTTTCGCGGTGTAGCCAGCCTCGGTAATTTCGCTGACGCCGCTCGAGTAGTCAGAGATCGCCAGGAAGACGTAGAATCAACAATTCTAACGCGAAAAAGAGCAGGGGGACTCACACCGACGGCGACAACATCGCATTTCAATGGTTTGTTTATGGGCGACGGCGAGCTTCTTGCCCACACCCCCATCGCGCATGCGCGGCGCCGGTGGCGTCCGCTAGGGGCGCTCCGGTTTGTTTGTAAACACGAGTTGGTGTATAGCCAATGTACAGCTGCTGCAGCCACTATCATCCATCCATGGCAGACAGCGTTGTGGAAGTTGTGGTGGCAGGCTGCCATCAAAATAGCGTGGGTGATATTTCGTGCTTGATTGAAATTGTTTGACGAAACATATTTTTGAAATCCGGCGTGAACGGTAGCCCGATCTTCGAGGACCTGGTGAAAGTTTCACGAAATCGCAGCACCGGGGAAAAGCAGCACAGCACGGATCGGATGTCGCATCGAAAGAAGCATCGTAAGCAGACGCCGGTACGGAGTCTGCTTTCGATGCGAGCTGCGCTGCTTTTCCCCCGGTGCTGCGCTTTCGTAGAACTTTCGCCGGGTTTTCAAAGATGAGGTTACCGTTCACGCCGGGTTTCAAGAATCTGCTTCGTCGAACAACTTTAATCAAGCACGAAATATCACCCATGGTAGAGTGTACTAGATCTACGGCTATTTTATGGCAGCCTGCCGCCATTGCGCTGTCCGCCATATTACTATGATCGCTGCAGATAATATAACCCTACCAAAAAGATGGCTGACCGTGGCCGCATTCCCGTCCATAGGCGGAACTGGTCAAACGCGATCCAGCAAATAGACATAAAGATCAGTGGGTGCAGCCGACCAGCGAAAGGAAGCAGACGACACGCAGACGAAATCCCTTTGCAGAAAAAGCGCCGTCGTTATGCAGACGCGTTTTTTAATTTAAGTTTTGCGTTTATTGTCCGCATTTATTTTTTAACCGAAGTTACATTTCAAAAAGATTATGTTCATTTTAATAAACCACGGTGGTCGCGAGCCGTCGCGATAAGGGGGTAGCGCCATCTATCAATACGAACGCCAAACACACCCCGCTACTGAACCCTTGTCGTCTGCGTCGCTGCCCGCCGTAGACCCTGGTAAACTTCGTGGACTTATTTTTTACAGAAGGAGAGCTACGCTTTCTACTTCTACAAGAAAAAACCGACCTGTGAAATACATCTTTGACGAAAGGCTTAGATTGCTACATGCAGGCGTCGATTTTTACGGTCTATTTTAGATTGAGCCTGGTGACTTGGACCACCCTGTACAATTAACAATTCCTTCGTTTTTTTTTATTTTGCAAGCTTGGCGTGGTTTTGTGTCATAAAACTTTTTCTAAGTGTCGTAATAATTTGTTGCCGTGCCAAAGCTGAAGGCGGGACAGCCACCTATCTGACATCCGTTCACTAACTGATCTAACTTTGAACTCTGCATGCAGGTGGGGCATGCGTCCTCCTCGTTCCGAAGAGTCAACTCGGAAGTGTTGACAAGTGCTGTGATTTCATCTTTGACCTCCTCTGCGGTGCCACCCCCAAGTTCAACATCTACGACAGCAGCTGCTCGTAGAGGCCTCAATGGAGCCTCTTAGTATTGCTGCGTCTTAGTTACGGTTACATTGAGCGCTCGTTAAACGTAGATGTAGGCCTACGGGCTGCTTAGGGGCACCCCCAAACGTTATGCCGTATAAATAAATAGGACTAGTAGACCGTGGCGGGTGGCTGCACCTCAACCCAGTTGCACACTTTGACACTGCTAAATAAATAAAACCCTAAAAGAACACTAAGTTTTTCTCGTTGTAATTCGTTCACGTCATTTAAAAGGAGCGGATTTGCGGCGAAACTTGAGTAGATGCATAGAGAAAGAAATACGGCTAATTTTCTTTCTGGAAATAGCTGCCACGGGGGCTCGTATATAAATACCCAGATACATCAAGCTTGTATTTTTATATGCTCGTCGCTGACTTGAGAAACCGATGGTTTAAGATGATACGATAATGCAGAAAATTTATGCGACTAAGCTTGATTGCTCTCTTTCACATAAGATCTCGAAAGTTGTCTCCCTTCAACTTTGTTCTATGCACCTTTCGTGTGTGTTCGTGATCAAACTTGGGGTTGCATCGCTTGGCGTCGTCGTCTTAGTATGGAAGATGGTATAAGAACGACATGTAGTGCTCCCAATGGGAGAACTATGACCAGTAAATAAGTCACACTCGAGAGTAACGCCATCTAAGCTCGGGCCTATGGAAGTGGTAACGCTTTACGTTTCGCTGCTACTCTACAATTACGGAGCCAGATGCGAACGCCGACGGTTACCGGCCACCGCAGGCTTCCGTGAGGCATACCATGCGTGTCCTCTTTGGCCATTGCCCAATCAGGCCCCGCCTCAACCGCCCGGAAGAAGACCACACAACGCCAGGTTCGAAGGGCTTTACTGCCTTACGAGCAGGAGGTAGCGCTTTGACCTAGACTCCTAGAGCACAGCCTCCTTTATAAAAAAGTATCCCGTTAAATCGAGAAAAAAAACGTGGCCACTGTAAAGCGGAAAGGAGATCGGGAATAGAGCGCGCGGAGGGAATCTCGGGCAACGCCAAACAATACACCAGAGGTAAAAACCGGACATAGGGACGCGCTTCTTTCTCTTTTTTTTTTTTTTTTGAGGAAGGAGGCAATTTTTATTTTTCTGAAGCGGCGCTAGCGGCTAGTCTGTTTTCTTTTTTATCCGTTGCGGTTTGTTGGTGATTCGCAGAGAGGCCACCGCGCGAATTTTTGGAGCTGGCTGAGGCGTCGCCTTAGAGTTCCTGTATATAGCTACCTACGGTAGCAGAGTTGAGCATTCAGCCTCGGCGGGTGGCCGTATTGCCGGCTTTCCTGCAGGCCCTGGATGCTTTGCTCCTCACGTGACTAAATTTGGCAAATAGCGGCGCCGCGCGCGCTACCGCGCATGGAAAACAGGAGAGGAGGAAAAGGAGGCAGAAAGGAGGGGAACATACGCCGGGACGCGAGAAACGTCGGTGGAGCGACCATAAATGTGGCTTTCTTGCACGGCGCCGGATGCTTTGCTCCTCACGTGATGGATCTCGGCGAATAGCGGCGTGGCGGCGCGGTGTAAACAAATGAGCAACTCTGCTCCCCCTTCGGGGGAGCATATCGAGGAACTCTACGTCACCCCAGAAGTGGCTCTTTGATACTATATCGCTAACCGTTCTGCGCTGCTCCTCGGCTTTTTTCGACGTCGGGGCGCTCAATGACTTCGTCGTGGGAAAACGACCCTTTTCAAAATTCAGTCCCATCTGGTGGCTCAGGTAGCAGTTTCCCTTTTACCCTACCAATGGCGGTAATCGACCTGCAGTCCGCAGTATTTTGCCATGCACCGTCAATTTTGCTAGTCAACAGCAGTCGAGAATGTCTGTTTCTACTTTACAATTCTTTCTGAATCTCTCAGTTTCATTGGCGACAAGTATACACTCGGGAAGAACGAAGCACCGACCTACATTGACGCCGTGATAAACTTTTATAGATCCAGGTGCTTTAGAGCCAATAATGGGCCACCAACAGATTGACTGGACCAAGGTAGAAATGAGCGCTTACGCAACCCTTGTATTGAATTCTTGCGTCGCACCGTACGAACGTCTCGAATGTATTTGCAACTTTCAGCGATGGTGGTACCGAAGTATGAGAATCGCGCTCCAGCGCCTGGATGATTGGCTTCACAATAAAGTTGCTTGCCTACACCTTCCTGACGTGAAAATAAAAAAAAAAGTAAGGCTCTATTACTGCTCGTATATAGCAAAACTAGAATTCCTTACGCATCGCAGATCCACCCTCGTACGGCTGTTCTACGACGACCGTTCGGATGACAAGGGGGGATCGGTGGCCGACTGGGCTAGCGCACACCAGCTCGGAGCACGTGGAGCGAAAGCTCGCGCTGCAGAATCCAGGGATCCTGGGCTCAATCCCTTTGACACGGGAATGATTTCTTGATTTTCCTAACCACCCAAGGAACAAGCCAAGTGAGTACTCTCACAGAGAGGACGTATTTTCTTCGTGTCTTCGACCCCCTTTTGAGAACGGCAAGCGAGCTGAAAGCTAAGCCTAGGGACGGTCTTGGCGCGGCATTGGCGGCAAGGCCTCACCGAGCCCCGCGGCCTCGGCGCCGACCCAAACTGTACTCGTTCAACTTCCCGAAGCCTACCCTGACCAAGGAATCGTACACAACTGTTATGTACATTTAATTACATTGAAGCTATGTACATATATACAGGTCAGGTTCGGGACACTAGATGATGGACTGGCGGTTCGATCAGCGGTCCGAACTGCACAAGCACGAGCACTCACCAACCTTGTCACTCGTCGTCTTCTTCCATTGACGCGAAGGTACGCTCGCAGTCGCGCCTAGCAGGCGCATATCCTACACTCCTCCCTACTAGACTAAGGCACATAGTCGTTAAGATAAGTAGGGCGGCGTGTTGCTCTTTGAGGTCTCGAAGAGTTGCTAGGGGAAACTGTTGTAGAACCAGCTGGTTGGACTGCTGGTGTGGCATCGGACCTAACGTCCGCTTCTTCGGAGACCGCTTCAGGTCAACTGAAGAGTTATCTTCCGAGTTTCCTGCAGAAGTTGTCGCTGGCCTTCTGCGCAACTGGTCAACATGGCGACGCCAAGATCGTCCATCTTCGGTTTCAATCCTATAGGATAGTGGACCGGTCACGGCTGTGACTACTCCAGGGGTCCACTTGGCACCGGACAAGTAATTTCTTGCATAAACGTTTTCACCTACTGTAAATAGTCGTTCCTTCTTCCCTTCCTGGAGAAACTTGTCCTCTTGTTTCCATGATGAATGGAACTGAGAATCGGGATGCAGGCGATCTAATGCTGTTTTCAGGCGTCGGTTCATCAATAGTTCCGCAGGACTCCTGCCCGTTGAGGAATGTGGCAGTGTATGTTGACGGAACACAAATCGCGCCAAATCGACGTTTACGTCGCCTGAATTTATGTGAGTGAGTGCCTCCTTGGTTTCTCTCACCATTCGTTCGGTCTGGCCATTCGATGAAGGGTGGTAAGGTGCCACTGCCACGTGTCGAATCTGGTTGCGGCTTGTAAATTCCTTGAATTCGGCCGAAACGAAGGCTGTGCCATTATCCCTGACAATGACGTCTGGCACTCCGTGTACGGCAAACAACATCCTCAGTTTCTGTACGACGGCTGAGGAAGACATAGAATTCATAATACATACATCGAGCCATTTCGAGAATGAATCGACCACGATCAGAAAGATCTTTCCCTTGAAAGGTCCTGCAAAGTCAATGTGTAGACGTGACCAGGGATGTTGCGTCGTCTCCCAGGGATGCACTGGTGCCCGTGGCATTGATGGTCTGTGTTCTTGGCATGTGGAGCAACTTGCAGCCTTTTCTTCAATGTCATGGGCGATGCCAGGCCACCAGACTGTACTCGCTAGTGCCTTCATCCTTACAATGCCTGAACGGCTGTGTGTAAGATGTCGAGTACAGTGGATTGTGCCACTTTGGGAATAAGAAGCCGGCTTCCCCAAATGATGCATCCCTTATAAGTTGATAGTTCATCTTTCCTAGTTGTATAGGGTTTGAACTGTTCGTGTTGCTTGTCATCTGGCCACCCATGCATGATCCAGCGCTGGACTCGCGCAAGCACGGAATCTTTTCTCATAGATGCTGCAATTTTTTCGGAGTTCCAAGGCTGTTCTGGAGCGGTCTCTAGCATCCATACGTCTGCGACTGGAGTGTCGTCCAGCTCTGTTGCAGGTATAGGCAGTCGACTGAGTGCATCAGCGTTTCCTATCTTGCTTCCCGGACGGTACTGCAGATCGTAGTGGTATGCGGCTAGCATTAGACTCCACCTGAGAACTCTTGGTGACACCATAGCTGGAATTTCCTTGTGCGGACTCAGCAATCCTAGCAGAGGCTAATGATCTGTGATTATGGTCACCGGGCGGCCATAGATGTACTGGTGAAACTTTTTGACACCATATATGATCGCCAGGGCCTCACGATCAGTTTGCGAGTAATTTCGCTCAGCTTTGCTTAGGGTTCTGGACCCGTCAGCTATTGGTGACTCTTGCCCAGAGTCGGCCACGTGACTCAAGACAGCTCCAAGACCGTAAGGCGAAGCATCGCAGGTCAATAATAAAGGCCTCCTGATATCGTAGTGAGACAGAACTGCTGTTGATTTGAGCAGTTCTTTCGCCTTGCGATAAGCCTCAGCTTCGAGAACGGTCCATGTCCAGCTCGCCCCCTTATCCAGCAGTCTGTACAACGGCTCCAAAATGTGAGCAGCTCCCTTGAGGAAACGATGGTAGAAGTTAAGCAAGCCCAGGAATGACTGTAGTTCCTGTTTGTTCTTGGGCTCTGGAGCTTCATGAATGGCCTTGACCTTGTCTTCAGTTGGTCGCACCCCGTCCTTGTCAATCCTGAATCCCAAAAACACGACTTGCATGGTGTTGAACGTACATTTTGCCTTGTTAAGGCGTAAACCGTCTTCCTTGAATCGCTGCAGCACAGCTCGCAGGCGTCTATCGTGCTGTTCTTTGGATTCTC